GTATTTCCTATAATAGTAACTACTGCCTACTACAGGTTTGCATCATACCTCAAGAAACGTGTTTACTTAACGTAGAACGATAACAACGCCCAGAGCATTTAAGCAGAATTATCTTTTTTTTTTTTTGTTACCTGACGTGATCATCTAAAAGGTACAGCAGTTTTAGTGTCATTTGTGTTATTTATAATATCATTTTGTTGAATCATGTTTTTATTTATATTCCCCCTGGAGATATTGAGTGTAAACGGTACCTTAACATTTCTCCCTGGAGATATTGAGTGTAAGCTACCTTAACGTAGAATAGTTACGTCGATTTTCAAACTAGACTGAAAAAGCGACTCAAAAACCAAATGAGTAACTGGTTCTGGTAACGTGAAATTCAATGACCGTAAACATTCTTTTTTTGCGTCGTAGAATCCCAGTTCAAGGCTTTTCTAAGCAAAAACATGAAGTTGCACCCTTGTCAAACCATTAAGCAAAATGCCTAAGATTTTTTTTTTTTACCTCAGTGAGGCGTGACCAATTAAGGCTCACCCTCGCCATTAAGACCAGAACGATCTAACAACGACTTGTACTGGTTTCTTTAACATTCAGCAGACTTCTGCAACCACAAGGATACACAGATTTGAATGGTGTATACACTAGACAACCAAAGTTAACTATAAAAGATACAGGCTTGGAGGATCCTGAAAAAACGTCTGGAACAGGAATAATCCATTTTAAAAAGCCCTAATTTCTATACTAACCATTTAAAAATTATATATAATACATATGATTTGAAGTAAGATATTAATTTACATATGGAGATCAAAGAAACAGGCTATTAACCTGCTGTGTTGTATATTTGTTAGCTATTATATATTTCACTATTTTGCCGTTTTAAATGATATTAGGATCAAGACAAGAAAAGAGTGTAAACCTAGATTACACATGTGTATCCTAGCTGTTATCGTCATAAAAACGAGACTATATTGTAAACTACTCCTCCAATAAGAAAGCTCACGAAAATATCCTTTGTTTTACAAGGTTTTGTGAGAGTAATTTTGAAGGTTTGGGAGTGTATAATGATAGCTAACTTACGAAATGATCCTTTGTTTTACAAGGTTTTATGAGAGTAATTTTGAAGGTTTGGGAGTGTATAATGAAAATTTAGTTTGTAGTGATTTTGTTGGTTTTGCATTAGTAATACCTTGCGTCAAAAAAAAAATGAAATATTTATTATTTTAACATATGCACTGACACCCAATGATATATATATATGTCACTATACGTGTAATATAACATTAGAATTAACTAGCTGTTATATCAAAATAAGTCATCGCTTTTTATTAACAAAGCATCATTTCGTTTTCTTTACTTTTTGACAATTAATGTTTTTATCTGAGTTTGTAGTTTCGCTAATTGTTACTTGAAACTAACTCTGCAACTAATCCTGGTAGTCGTGTGATTTTTCTACAAACTCTCTATAACTCCTCAAAACGAAAACGACGCGTTAAAAGCTCGTGACATTAAATCTATACGAAAAGAACGTCGAGTAAGCTTTGAAATTATGCAGGCTTACAAAATCCACTTTGTAAAAATATATTATATTCACGGAACGTTGTGTTGGAACGACTGTACAGAAGTGTAATTAAAAAAACGTTCAAGAAAATATATGTGGTAGGTGAATTTTATGGTTTTTAAAAAATTAGTCAGAGTTATTCAAACTTATATATTCGTATAATGCTGTTGAAATCACTTCAACGTAAGCTAGTATTACAGGTTTAAAATAATTTCTACGTTCTTTCAGTATGATGAACTATATATGTATACATTCTGCTGGGATGTGGTAAGGAGAGAAGCAATTCATTATGTATATAATATATGAAACAAGTCAAACTGGTTGTAGTAAACAGATAGTGGAGGCAGAAAACACCAGCTCGTTTAATAAACGGTAGAAATTTCACAATTACAGACAACGTGGTCATTCGTCAGAAAATTACAGTAAACTGTATATAAAATAATCAGGCCATTTTACAATAAATATAGGTCTGGTTGAAACAGACAATCAGGCCATTTTACAATAAATATAGGTCTGGTTGAAACAGACAATCAGGCCATTTTACAATAAATATAGGTGTAAAATAGCCTGATTGTCTGTTTCAACCAGGATAAAGATAGGTTTGATTGAAACAGACAATCAGACCATTTTATAATAGAGGTAGGTCTCGTAGAAATATGCAATCAGGCCATTTTACAATAAATATAGGTCTGATTGAAACAGACAATCAGGCCATTTTACAATAAAGATAGGTTTGATTGAAACAGACAATCAGGCCATTTTATAATAGAGATAGGTCTCATTGAAGCGGACAATCAGGCCATTTTATAACAGAGATAGGTCTCATTGAAGCGGACAATCAGGCCATTTTATAATAGACGCAGGTCTCATGGAAATATACAATCAGGCCATTTTAAATAGACAGGGTTCTGATTAAAACAGACAATCAGGTCACTTGAAATTAGACAATAAAGCCATTTTATAATAGGCACAGGTATGATTGAAATAGACAATCTGGTCAGTTAAAAATAAACACTGGTATGATAGAGACAGACAATCAAGGCATTTTATAATAGGTACAGATGGAGAAGACGTTTTGAATATATGCTTAACGTAATGAAAAGAGGTATTCAAGTCATTGCATAATAGGCACAATTCTAATCGAAACAAAAAATCTGGTTTTATAATGTGGAGAAGTCTGAAGGAACAGATCATCAGATTTTTGTATGACAGAAACATTTAGATCGTTTTTTCTGCATACAGTTCTAACGGAAGCGTGTATATGTGTTTTTTATAACAAAGCCACATAAGCCTATCTGCTGTGTCCACCGAGTGGAATCGACCCCCCCTAATTTTAGTGTTGTAAATCCGAAGACTTATCATGTTATTTTACAATAGGGACATATGTAATAAAACAGACTAACAGGTTGTTTTATACGATCTACAAATCTAATGAAAAAATAATCGGTTTTATAACATATCAAAATATGATGGAAACAGATCATCCGTTTGTTTTATAAGAGGTAAAAATCTAACTGAAACGAATGACCGAGAGGTTTTCTGCTCATAACTCTAAGAGAAACAGTCAATTTGTATTGAAAACGGATATTCTTGGTGTTATATACAGTTGTTAGGGAAACAGACAATTTGGTTTTATGATAAAAAATCTGACAGAAACAATTAGGTGGTTTTATAATAGGAGCATGACACAGCTAGATTTTTTCTTATTTAATAAGAGGCCTAGGTGTTAAGAAAATACGTATTGTGTTCGTTTTTTTCTGAGTATACCATTTTGATGTAAACAGATCACCGGTTTGTGTTCTATTAGACGTAAAAATTGACACCCTTTCGCTGTTTAGCACGAAGCTACATAAAGGGCTATCTTTGCCGTGCCCGTCACGGGTATCGAAACCCGATGTGTAACGTTATAAGCCCCCAGACTTACCGCTGAGCCATCGGAAAGAGGGTATACTGATGTTAAACAGTTAGGTATAGATCTTTACAAACCTAGTGATTAATAGGTAATTAATTTGTTTTTTAACAGGTACTAATATGGTGTCAAACAATTAGATTGCTTACTAATGTAGACCCATATAGATCTAACTGTTAATATACAGTTAGGTTGTTTTTTAACCGGTACTAATACGGTGCCGAACAATTAGATTGCTTACTAATGTAGACCCATATAGATCTAACTGTTAATATACAGTTAGGTTGTTTTTTAACAGGTACTAATATGGTGTCAAACAATTAGATTGCTTACTAATGTAGACCCATATAGATCTAACTGTTAATATACAGTTAGGTTGTTTTATAACTGGTACTAATACGGTGCCGAACAATTAGATTGCATACTAATGTACACACACATAGATCTAACTGTTAATATACAGTTAAGTTGTTTTACAATAGGTACAGATATGGTGCCAAACAATTAGATTACATACTAACATAGACCCATATAGATCTAACTGTTAATATACAGTTAGGTTGTTTTATAATAGGTACAAATATGGTGCCGAACAATTAGATTGCATACTAATGTACACACACATAGATCTAACTGTTAATATACAGTTAAGTTGTTTTACAATAGGTACAAATATGGTGCCGAACAATTAGATTGCATACTAATGTAGACCCACATAGATGTAACTGTTAATATACAGTTAGGTTGTTTTACAATAGGTACAAATATGGTGCCGAACAATTAGCTGCATTATATAATTGGTATGTACAGACCCCACGGTTAACATATAATCGGGATCTTTTCTAATCGGTTTCGATGTGACAGTCAACAACGTGGACGTGTTATACAAGCCACAGAAGTAACTGATGTCTTAGTACATTAATCATAAAATGCGTGCCTCACTTGTACACTTTGTAACATTAAAGTTTTCCCATCACGAACGTGAAGGATAAAGGGCTACGTGTGTTTACCACGAATCTCAAGTTTTGTTACTCAGTTTGAACGTTTCTTCTTGACGTAAACGTGTAATTAATAGTAATATAACAGCTTATGATACAAATCGAAAATTATTCAACTCTTGAAATAGAAATATATATAAACATTCTAACGATGTAGAAATAAAAAAAGGCATGCTGTAAAAGTACAGAAACTCAATATAGAAAAGTATTGCAAAAAGTTTACAGCCTTAATTTGTAAATAGGCTAATACGTTCCACATTTAACAAAAGTGAAAATACTCTGTAGAAGAAGCGACCATAACTTCTCAAAGTTTAGGGACAAATATGGATACTTCACAAGATATAGAGTAAACATGAGAACATGAATATTGTACAGTAGTAGAAGAAAAGATGATAAAACCGTAAAACTATTTCGACTCTGTTTTTATCTGTAAATGTTAAGAAACACAATAATATTTTAAAAGGTGTAGTAGAACACATTTTTCTAAATAAATTAATATTGTGTTTACTTAGAATATTACCTACGTTCAAAGATCGACTACGTCAGTATTTTACATACCAGTTGTAAAGAGTACTATTGCCTTAAGACAGCTGTACTCTGCAGCATCCACGTGTAGAACCTTCAATTTTTCAACTTGTTCTTGAAATATTCGAATGTGCTCCATAAACGCAACCACACGATCGGCCGCCATAGGTGATGCGTGAAGTCCGGCGGCCGCCAACAGGGGCGCCACGTGTAGGGGCATGGAGCACTGAGATGCATTCAACACAAAAAGTTCGCTCCACACGAGCCGGAGAAGAGCCACCTGGTCCGTCACTTGAAGGTCTGGAAAGAACGGGATATTTCTTGCCCATTCGACAGCACTAAACAGTAAACGAGCTGCCAGCTCACAGATATTATCAATTCCCATTATGTTATTGGGTTGCATACACTGGGCGTACCGAGATGGCGGATAGGGCTCTGCTCGGAGGAGTAGCGAGATGAAACTGGAAAGGTACGAGTGACCGTTTAGGGTGTCCCCGTTGGCAAGGGCCATCTGCCCGGGAAGGGCATGCTGAGTCGGTGGTAGTCTGCCCCGCTGAACAGCTGTTGGGTAGAAAATACATTGACAGTATGTAGTTGCCTCACTAACTAAAGGTGGGCAATAATGACATGGTAACGACATAGTACTGAATGCTTAAAAGTTAACAAGTTATTATACTAAACAGAGCAAAAATATAGCGTATAAGGTAAGTTTAAACGCTTCTATTACATGTTTACTAACGTTTATGGATTTACACAAAGAAAACAGATTACTGAACTGAGCGATTCTGTTAAGATATATAACACTACATGTCGTTTTACAAGACGGCTGACTGTACCAAGACACAAACAACCGAGCCCTGAAAAACGCCACAAACCTGGCTGCGTGGAAGAAAAGTCTTACAGCAGCTAGCGCGCAGGGCTGAGGTGATCTGTTTTCGGTACGCCATCCACATGAAGTGAGATGAAAACGGGTGTACTGTTGTCGTCTTTCGCGTCTCTCCCACACACACACACACAGACACAGGGTTAAACATATTGTTAATTTTCACTTTAGGCCCACGCCTGCGTTTTTTCTTAAAGATTTCTGTATATTATTGGTTCTGAAACATCTAAAAGCTTTTTCTTTAACTATAGGTAAGTCTGATAAAAACTCGGAACGGAGACGGAAAGGAACAACAGTGATTAGATAACAACTACTTATCAAAGACAGAGAAAGTACACTGAAACCAAGTTGTCTCGCCACTGGCCAAAGGTCAGCCACAGTCACGGCAGGATAATGTACTGACCGGAGAGGCTGACTGAGGGTCAGTGGCGAGTAAAGAGGAGAGGAAAGTAAGCTGACCTGGGCACCTACCCTCCCTGCGCATGCCCATCTTCAGACACTTCTTCAGACGGCAGTATTGGCACTGGTTTCGGTGATGTTGGTCAATGGGACAGTTCCTGTTCCCACGGCATGTGTAAGTCAGGTTCCGCCGGACACTCCGTTTGAAAAAAGACTTGCAACCTTCGCACGTGAACTGTCCGTAGTGCTTGCCACTACTCTTATCTCCACACACTACACATTCTGTGTGCTGCACATTTTTATCAGCGCTCTGGGAAGGTGTACTTGGTTGGGGTGGAGGTGGGGCACCTCCGGTCCCGTTCTGAGCAACCGTCTGGGTAGCCAGATCTGCCTCCGATGCTGTAGTTCCAGCGGTCGGTGTTGGATCCCGCCAAGGTGTTACGGCCAGGGCCATCGTGAACAGTTCAGTCTTAGTTCTCGGTTTCACTGCTCACGCTCTTCTAGTAGCTAAGCAACACCGCAAGTTGAGGTACGAAATCGGCAATAACCGGGGTGAGTTGTTGAAGCGTGAGGACTTGATAGTGTGACACAAGCCTCCGCCCTGCTCACACATGTACGTTAAAGTCTAAGCACCAGCAGTCCTAACAGGACCGAGCCAGGCGGGCAACTGGGGCTGCCCCGCTCGGGCTTCACATCAACAAACCCTCTGCCACAGGGAAACCGACAGAGCAGCCCGGAGCAACTGCGCGTGAACCTGCGTGATCTGGGCGCTCGTCTTTGGTCGCGGACAAGTCGACTACCGGAGTCAGGTTGTGCCACGTCGCGGGTGCGTGAGCGTGTGGCTGAACCTCAGCTATTCTGAACTATGACATAATAGTTGAAACTGTTCGGTTGGCATGGCAACGTATTCCATATATGGTAAAACGTGTCATTAAAGTTCAAGAAGCCTATTAGCGAGTGATAATCCTAGGCAAGGCGGTCGTGCCCTACAGGCAATCAGGGCATAACTGCCGAAAGGTCGAACTGCTTTCTCATTGGCTAGCGCGAGACCCTCGAAGCCGAAGAATATTATCACAGCCTGATGAGAAACTGCGTGCTGGCGCGCGCCTAGTCATGTGGCTACTGTGGCCAATCACCAGCACACTGCTTGTTGAGAATGCGCCCGCGCCGCAAGGTGTGAAAAATGGGTTGGTTCGTAACAGTGAGTAACACAAATCAATCGCCCTAAGCTCAGGTAACTAACAGTTAAGCCTTAGCCGACCCAAGCTTAATCTGAATAAGTATTAAAAGGTAGAAGATATTAGTACACGTTACGCCATTACAGAAGATACTTTAATTATAAAGGTTGTTTAGGATGAGACCGTTTATTGTGTGACGTCAGAATATCTACATAACGTCAGGACGTAGTGAGCTGTAGCACGGCATTCTACTGAAAGGTGTGATGATGTTGTGTTTAAATTTGTGGTGTGGTCATTTACATGTATGATGTCAGGATGGTGTGTTTAAATTTGTGGTGTGGTGAGTTACATGTATGACGTCAGGATGTTGTGTTTAAATTTGTGGTGTGGTCATTTACATGTATGATGTCAGGATGGTGTGTTTAAATTTGTGGTGTGGTGAGTTACATGTATGACGTCAGGATGGTGTGTTTAAATTTGTGGTGTGGTGAGTTACATGTATGACGTCAGGATGGTGTGTTTAAATTTGTGGTGTGGTGAGTTACATGTATGATGTCAGGATGGTGTGTTTAAATTTGTGGTGTGGTCATTTACATGTATGACGTCAGGATGGTGTGTTTAAATTTGTGGTGTGGTCATTTACATGTATGACGTCATGATGGTGTGTTTAAATTTGTGGTGTGGTCATTTACATGTATGACGTCATGATGGTGTGTTTAAATTTGTGGTGTGGTCATTTACATGTATGATATCAGGATGTGGTGTGGTGGGTTACTCTGTCGAAAGTAAGCTAAGTAATGTAAATATGTGATAAGATACTCGAGTTGTTTGATGATATCCTGCATTTAGGTAATTTAAATAAGATGTGGTGAATCAGAAGTTTTATATGACGATCAAGGTGTGGTAAATTACATGGCTTGTGTTAGGATGTTCTACAGAAAATCAGTAACATTAAGGTGCAGTGGGTTATATGTTCAAATGCTGAGTTGAGTGTGTTTTCACAGAATGTTCTAAGTGAACTTATTGGTGATAAGATGTGAGGAGTTAAACATGTTGTATCAGAATATTAGATATAAATATGTTATGGTGAGTTGAATGATTTATAATAGCATGTTGTGATGTAGTGAGTTAGTGTTATGGTGAGTTGAATGATTTATAATAGCATGTTGTGATGTAGTGAGTTAGTGTTATGGTGAGTTGAATGATTTATAATAGCATGTTGTGATGTAGTGAGTTAGTGTTATGGTGAGTTGAATGATTTATAATAGCATGTTTTAATGTAGTGAGTTAGTGTTATGGTGAGTTGAATGATTTATAATAGCATGTTGTGATGTAGTGAGTTAGTGTTATGGTGAGTTGAATGATTTATAATAGCATGTTGTGATGTAGTGAGTTAGTGTTATGGTGAGTTGAATGATTTATAATAGCATGTTGTGATGTAGTGAGTTAGTGTTATGGTGAGCTGAATGATTTATAATAGCATGTTGTGATGTAGTGAGTTAGTGTTATGGTGAGTTGAATGATTTATAATAGCATGTTGTGATGTAGTGAGTTAGTGTTATGGTGACATTATTTTGCATTTAGAGTCTGTGGAGTGCTGAGTTAAAGATGGTATTTTCATGATTATAATGCCACTAAAATTACCTGTTTCACAAGCAGTTATACACACTTTATTAATTGTAGTATGTAATTCTATTGTCACAAGTTTGTTAGAGATAGTGTTATACGGGATGTTATATTTCGTCTAAACAATATTATTAGCATAAGTCTGTTACACTTCTACTATGTCGTATCTGTTTGACAAGCTGCGTAGGTCTGTGGCACTACACTTAAGCCTTTTCTTTCTATGCTCACTAACCTATAGCTCCAGTAGCTGTTTTAAGTCTGTCTTTCATACAAGTAAATGGTGTTTTACGTGTTCTCATCCACCAAGATATACATATAGTGTTACAGTTGTTACGATATTCGGTGTTAAGTAACTTCTGTTTGTTGTCGTATATGTTAGAGAATCTTATGAAAGAAGACTCATACCGTGTGTTCAGTAACCTATTCATGAACTTTGACAGAGAAGCATAGCTCTGAAGTAGCTGGATTAAATTTCGGTAACAGAATCCATACACATTACATTTTTCAGTCATCATGAGGCAATTTAACACGCTCCTCTTTTTACATCCGGAAGAAGAGGAAATATTTATTCTGTTTAATTTTTTATACGCGCTGGTGTTTGCTCATATTTTAAATACGTGTCGTCTTTAACTTCCGTGCATAAAAATCCCATGTTAAACCCGAATAAGTAGTTATCAACTTTAACCATTGAGCGTTATTCCTGTTAGGCTTAGGTTTCGTTTATTGTGTTTCTGTTTGCCAGCTTGTGAGTTATGAAGAAAGTACCAGTTAAAAAAAAAAAAAAATATATTACCATTATTGCTTTTTAAATCATAAGGATAATTCTAGAATTGTTTATTTTTAGCAAAAAAATCGAAGATAAAAAGGCACACAATATGTTGAAGTGATAAGATTTTCTCTTAAAAATCTCAGCTAGTAATGGGTTCGATATGCTTTTCGTAAATAGTTTTTATATTTTTGGTTTGACGCCTATATACATACAACCTTTCTAGTGTGTAGCTGTTAGATACAAACACACACATATATGTACATTCATATGTGCTATACATATAGGTCCCGTGTGGGCTTATTTCGTGGCTACCGTTTTCCTGTTTAATACCAGATTACGGGGGGTTTTCAAGAATCATTTTTCTTTATCCTCGAGCTAGCACCCCTTATATTTACGCTGCTGTTGTACAGCCTGCACGTGCCTCGAGGCTCGGCACAAAGCAGAGGAGTTCCCTGGCCCCTTCCGCTCCCTTTTCGCAAGCATGTTTCTCTCAACCGCAACCAAAACTCCATATATTAATCAATATTCACATATTGCTAGATATGAGAGTGTGCCGGTTTACTAATATAAACCCAGGACAGGGGTATATCACACACACAACTGTCTGAGTAATCTCATGAGCCTGTGATGTATAAGGTGTTCTGAGTGAAAGACTATTGAAAATTTCATATGAAGTAAAGGCCATCATTTGATTTGGGTCAATATGATGTGCAAACGTTGGTAATCTAATTACAATATGTATAAAGGTTCAAACAGCCACAACAAATTAAATGACAACATAAACTAAGTTCTAATACATACACACATATATATATATCTATCTATCTTAATGCTTAATTCAACTTACATATACATATATATATATCTTAATGCTTAATTCAACTTACATATACATATATATATCTTAATGCTTAATTCAGCTTACATATACATATATATATCTTAATGCTTAATTCAACTTTCATATACATATATATATATCTTAATGCTTAATACAACTTACACATATATATATATATCTTAATGCCTAATACAACTTACACACACATATATGTATATCTTAATGCTTAATTCAACTTACACACATATATATATATATATATATATATATCTTAATGCTTAATTCAACTTACATATATATATATATCTTAATGCTTAATTCAACTCATAGCTTGGATTTTGTTACGTACTACAATGACATACGTACACATTAACATGTTGAAAATGTCTTATGCAATCTAGTCACTACTGTAAAATTAGCTATAATTAATGGTTAACTTTTCGTACATTTTTTTTATGAATGGCTGTAATTGTATATTTGTCGTACGAGTAGTCATTATGAACTTATCCATCATTATCCGTGACTGGAATTTTTCCCGAAAGTTCAATTTCAATGTGTGGTCGTCATCGCAAACGAAATATCAGAGGGATATTCCCTTTTTTTTGGGGGGGGGGGGGGGGAGAGGGGGTACGTGTTTTAGTTAGAACCACAGATTTCATAGATGAAATTGCAATGAAAGCACTAAATCCTATGTTTTACTTTTATCTTAAAGAGTTTTACATTATTCCGTACATCGTACTTGTATT